AGGCTGGCCTTGAACTCACAACAATCCTCCTGCCTCAGCCTCCCGAGTGCTGGGATTACAGGCGTGCACTGCCATGCCTGTTGAGACTCTCTTAAAGAGACCAAAAAAAAAAAAAGAGGGAAAAAAAGCCACTAGAACTGGGTGTGGCTCAGTGGCAGAGGCTTACATGAGGCCCTGGGTTCCTTCCCAAAATTAAAAAAGAAAAAGAAAAAAAGGACAGCGTGTTGACACATCCCTTTGAATCCCAAAATTTGGGAGACTGAGGCAGGAGAAACCTCTGTAGTGAATTCAAGCCCAGCCTAAGCTATATTGCTAGAACCTGTCTCCAAAAGCTAAAAAATAAAAAGAAAAAAGAAAGAAAATAAAAGAAAACAAAGCAAAACAAAAAGAAGACCTCTAAGTATTGCCAAATGTCCCTTAGGGCCAAAATCACCTCTGATTGAGAACTCCCTCTTAGAACAACCTGTTAAACTGTCATTTATTTTAATTGAGTGAGTGTGCATGTGTGTATACACAAATATTTTACTTGGCAGTCTTTTTGTGTGTGTGTGCTGGGAATTGGACCAACAGCCTCACACATACCAAGCATGTGTTCTACAGATCTTGCAATAAAAATACAGAAACTTGACAGAACTCTCCAGTTTAATCAGCCAATGAATTTAGCCCAGGACTTTTGTGAGAGGAGGATCAGAGATGAGCCTGCTCACACACGCTGGGTAACTCCCGCCCTTGGGAGGCTGAGCCTGGAGGGGCAGGAGTTCAAGGCCTGCCTGGACCACGGAGCAAGACCCCCATCTCAAATTACAACAACAAAATCCCAAAATCTGAAACCAACCAAACATAAAGCTTAGCCAAGGTGGCAGACATTGTGCCCCCTCACGGTAGCTCCTGTGCAGTGCCTGGCACACAGCAGGTGGGACATTAATAGGAAAACAAACCCAAGAAGTTTCTTTTGTATTATCGATGATTGATTGATTTTTTGAGACCGGGTCTCGCTGTGTGGTTGAGGCTGGTCTTGAACTCACGGCGATCCTCTTGCCTCAGCTTCCCCAGTGCTGAGAGAATGGGCGTGCCCCACCATGCTGGGTGAAACATAATTTTAATTTTTT